TTACATTTGTCAACACATCCACATAAGCATCATTGTACTATAAGTGGCCAATCCAGTATCAAAATCGGTGGCGGGATTAGGTTAATTCGCCTAGTGGACTAAAGTCGTCATCTCAGGGCCTTTGTTCGCTTGCGCATTTCTGCTGACTTTTCCAGCTTCTTAGCACTTAACGTGACATTTCCTTACGCGTGTAGTTGAGCAGAGCTATTTGCATTGACTGTATTAATCCGAGTTTGCAGAGTAAAATTTCGCATAATGTCTTAGCATTAATTCCTTAATGCATTCTTATGATAATTTAACCTCAATTGCCACCACAAAGTGCGCTTTGTTTCTGTCCTGCATCTTCAAGGTGATTGCGTTTCTCTAACCACTAGGAGACTAACATGCAAACTGATCACAACTTAATGATATTCCCCATTCCGCAATTTGCTCGTTAAGGTGTCTGTAATGCCGCAATGCCATCACCGTTCCTTGATTGATGAGAAAAGCTCCAGCATTAGGAAATAGTGTGCTCCGGCCTACTTACTTACCACTTCTCTTCCCGCTGTGACCTCAGTCCAAACCCCTACACAAATGGTGTTGAATAACAAGTATAGTCAACACGAATGCTGGAATGCGTCAGCTTTAAAATATCAAAAAAATTGACAAAAACGAATAACTAGATATGATATCGTGAACACAAACGTTCGGCGTAAATTGTTGGATTAAACGTCCTCCTGTCATAAGAGCCTGATTTTATTTCAGCCGCCACTCGTCGGAAGTACCAACGCTCCATCTCATCGTATGCTTCTGGTTGGTAGTCAGCGTGGAACTTGTTGGCAAATAGGTGTGGCACAGTCTGCAACCGCACCACATGATCCGTTCCAAGAATGCAGACATCCCTAACGTATTTAGTAGTACAATTTATGCTGCAGCCTTCCCAAATGACAAACTTGGCCAAATAGTTAAAGCCTACTTCAGATTCGGGTGCTGGGCTATGCAGACAAGCTCCAGGCAGGCGCAGTTGGCTGTTGTAAGCGAGAGTTGGGAAAAAGAACTCGTCGGGATGTATGATGTTGCTTGGCTGGAGCATGATGTCACGAATGGGACCGACAGCTTTTCCTATGACTGCTTCGTGCAGAAATTCCCTTTGGAAGGCACCATAGATTGAGCCTTTGTACCATGTTGCCTACAACATGAAACGTTAGCTTAGCTATGTGGCTGACAATGCAAGTATCACATCCCTCAGTGTGAATGCAACTGTGATCTTGCGCCCCACTGGGATATCAAAATCATGCCAAGCGCCATGATTTACTAGTTAAGCACCGTTGTCAGTAGCAGGCTTTCTTACCAAATATAATCGACAGGGTAAGTCGCTGGCGTTTACCCACCAAACAAGGAAGATTTGCAAATATATAGACGATCTACACGTGCTTCTACCGATTTCAACTATCTTCCATGGAACAAGAGTACGACGGTTATAGCTACGTATTTAGAATTTGATCAATGCCCATAGTAATTAAACAGGTAGCTTGCGGCAAGTGAAATCGGCAAGTGACAATATAAGAACTCGCCGCAGAATTATGCGGCGTCGTT